TGTGCCCCACAAGATCTCTAAACCTAGATCAAAATTCCTTCTTCAAAATCCGAGGTCCGGGGGACCCACATGCAGCTAAAATGCCGTTCCCGTGATTATGGATAACGGCCTGCTCCTCACGTGCGACTTCACGCCCCGCCGTTCTGCCTCCCATGCGTGACTTCACGCCCCGCTGTTCTACTTCCCACACCTGACATAATTCCGCCAATTTCCGTCATCAAGAATCTTCTGCCACGTGGCGCCGAAGGCGTACCGCCGAAGGCCCTTGCCCCAAAGGCCCTTGAGCCGAAGGCGCATCTTCCGGCGGTTCTTCCGCCAAAGGCGCTTGCCCCGAAAGCTCCTTATTGGTAACTTCCGACACTCATAACTCATTGATCTATTATCTGTTCCAAGCAATCTTGGGCTCGTTAGAACAAGCGTGTCAAGTTCTTTCCAACGAGACCCTAACCAAGTCAAGGCGTTGTCAATTGAGAAAGTTATGAGAATCCAGTCTTCCGCCGAAGTCACTTTCCCGCATCGCCGAGGGCGTATCACCGAAAACGTCCTTCGCCGAAAGCGTTAACCCAAAGGCCCTTGACCCGAAGGTACTCCATATCAGTAACTTCCGACACTCATAACTCATTGATCTCTTATCCTTTCCAAGAGTTCTTGGGCTCGTTAGAAAGAACGTGTTGAGCTCTTTCCAACGAGACCCTAACAAAGTCAAGGCGTTATGAATTGAGAAAGTTATGAGGGATTCACTCTTCCGCCGAAAGCCGTTGCCCCGAAGGCGTCTACCGCCGAAGTCGCATCTTCCGCCGGTTCTTTCGCCGAAGGCGTCTACCGCCGAAGTCGCTCTACCGCCGAAGGCCCCCCATTAGTAACTTCCGACACTTATAACTCAATGAACTCTCATCCGTTTCACAAGTTCTTGAGCTCGTTAGAACCAGCGCGTCGATTTCTTTCAAACAAGACCCTAAGTAATTCAAGGCGTTACGATTAGAAAAAGTTATGAGTGATCTACCGCCGAAGTTGCTCGAAGCTGATCCTGCAGCATGAACCGCCCGTTCCATCCCAAGCGTTCGACTGTAGCCTAAGCCCAAAACCTCTTGACTGTCCTCGATCCTCTTTTTACTCTGGTTTTGCGTACTGATTATTATTTACAGCTGCTACCGCGGTACTTACTATTCAAAAATGTTTTAGTTCTGACGAAAAACAAAAAGTGGGTTACCACAACAAGCCATGTCACAACAGCACATTTATAGAAATAAGTGTTTTGATATTTTACAACGTGAGATGTAAATGTCATGAAGTTGTTGTCTGCAGGTGAGTGGACATCATCAACGAGCAAAAGATCTAGACACCATACTCGGCTATGACGGACTAGATTTATAGAGTCAAAATATCAAGTATTTCTGTAGAGGTTTTATTGTGTCTAATTAGTGTGGGGCCTACTTTTTCGTTTTCTTTAAAAATTAACAAAAACCATAAACATATTTGTGTAGAAGAAAGTTATATGAGTTGGAAAGACTAGATTTATAGGAGTTATGATAGGATTAGTTAGAATTTGTCTACGTCCGAAGATCTTCGGATCTTCGGCGCAGTCTTTCAAGGACGTACAAAGAGCTGCGTCTTTGGCGAAGACATCGAAACCAATTTCAAATCATGCAACGAGTCAGACGATGTTTGCACGCGTGGGGAGTTCTACGAGGCGCGGGAGAAGGCAATGTTAGGGCTTCAAGGGTAAAGGCAGTACGAGGAGACTTCGCGCCGACATTGCGATATCAAGCAAGAATGAGCGAGAGAGAGGAAGGAATTGCAATCGAGCCAACCCGCGATTAGCAAAACGAAAATTGAAGACATGGCGCCCAAGAAGAGTGAGAAGGTGAGGAAATTTGTTCCCTTGAAGGTGCCTTACGAGGAATTGAGACCTTTCAGACACGAGTTGAGGGAACTGCGGCTTGAATTCCTTTTGTGGAATTGGAATTGCGTCTCAACGAGTATCTGCAAGGAAGTTATGAACAAGAGCGCGACCTAAGGCGAGGAGCTCCGCGGTAATCCCATGCTGTGGATCATCGAGCATTGGACGAAAGTAATGGGACCGTGTGCGGGCAGCGAAGGAGACCTGTTATTTGAGAAGAATAGCGTAGGACTTACGCGCGGCGAGGAATTCTCTTACGGGCCTCTCTTCAAGACTGGAAGACATGGAACGAATGGATGGAAGACTGTAGATTACAAAGATCCGAAGAGAAGGGCGATCGCGTTGGGGATCATGCACATCTTACGGCCGGCGCGCACGACTTATGTGACGGCTTGGCAAGTAGGGTTCTTCGAACGCATTCTGAAAGGAAAGCGCGTACATTGGGCAAGGATCTTTTACGATATTGTCTGGGTAAATGCGTCTAGTCGATGGACGGGATCTATGACCAATCATCTTACTCCCTTTCTGAGGAATTTCTATCGAGGGATGGGATTGCTTACGAGGGAGGAGGAGAGATGATTTCCGAGAGAGCGGGAGTTCTTGACGGCTGAGTCCAATGAAGGGACTGAAGACGAGATCCGACCCCCCTCAATTCCAACACGCATCACCGTTCAAGGACCAATGCAGGTGGACGTGGTTCAAAGGAAGGAGCAGCAAGAGAGACGAGTGGCAAAGAGAAGGAAGGTCGTGAGTGATGATGAGGAGGAACTGGCCCACGTGGTAAGAAGGATGGATATGGATGTAAGTTGAGCCAGACAGCACAGAGCTCGCGCAAGATCAAAGAAGAGGGCGAAACGGAGGATGGTGACAGTTGAGGTGTCAGATAGCAGTGTGAAGAAGACGGTGACACCAATTGTAAACACATCCGAAGTCGCAATTAGCGAGGTAATGCGACCTGTGGAGATAGGAGTACCTTTGGAGGTGTCAATCAAAGTTCCGGCAGATATACCGGCAGAACCTTTGAAGGAGAGAACGGAATTGGTAAGTCCGATTTCTCTGTCTTCGGAGCGGACACGGTCTGCACAAGGCGAAGGAACAGCACAGATGAAGATGAACGAGGACCTGGAGAAGGAGTTCACTTTGAGCGAGTAGATTCTAGAACAGGTTGTCGCAAGGCTAGGAGGGACAATGGTAGAAGCCGAAGGCATTACACTGCCGACATCTCCGGTGGAAGAGGTGAGACCCGAAGAAGGAGAGAAGACACTAGAAATTACATTTCCTGAATTTTTGTAGGATAATGTAGTTCCATTGTTGAAGTACTTGGACAAGAAGAGAAGAAAGTATGCTGTAACGGAGGAGCCAGGATTCTATGTACCTATGATTAGAAATAGGACGAAGCTCTTGAGAGTAGTTGCTGTAAAGAGGGAGTGGGAGTCCGCAACTGCATTGATGCGAGAGCGAGAAGCCTAGCTTCGGGAGAAGTAAACTAAGTGCAAAGTAATGCAGCAGAACTTAGAGAAGGAATCCGGGCGCTGTGTAGAGTTGGAGAAGGCCTGTAGAGGACTTCGTATCTCCAATGAGAATGTGCAGAAAGTAACAGTGAATTTGGTAGCGAGACCGGAGAAATCCAGGGAAGCTTACGAGGCGGCAAGCAAAAGATCGGAGCGGCTGATCATTATAGCGGAGAAGCGAGAGAAGATGCACATCGAGGAACTTGCTAAGTCGGAAGCCCGAAGAGCCGAAGAAGCTCATGTTGCTGAAGAACTTCGGGGCAAGCTCGCAGATACGAAGACGGCGGAGGAAGATCTTCGTAGGAAAATCTCGGAGATTGAAGCGAAGTATGAGATGAAATTCCGACGTGCGGAGGAGCTATTAGCAAGTCTGTCGGCGGGAAACCAGAAGCATGAGGAAAAATTGAAGAATTGGGCCAAGAAATTGGCAGATTGCAAGTCGGCCAAGACTTCGGAGGTTGAATGTAGATTAAAGGTTGAATCTGACTGTTGACGGTTACGGGAGCAGTTAGGGAAGGCGGAAATGAGATCGGAAGAGTCGCAAAGGAGAATGCAAAAGGCAGAGTATGCCTACCGTCAGCTGCGGGAGGATTCAACCGACATGTTGAGATTGCGGTTAGAGAAGTGCCTGAACGGGTTCGCGATGTGGGGATTGGATTCGGTGAAGTGGATGAAGTTAGATTTGCTCGAGCGACGGCTGATGAGCACGAAGACTAGCGGATCCGCAAGGCACAAACAGATTGTAGAGTTAGTTAATTCATTTTCAGAGGAATTGGATGAGGCGCGCCAGAATGTAGAAATAGAGATTGTAAATGTGTTGCGTAGATTAGGAGTAGAGAGTAGTTAAGACGATGCTGTAACTGTTACATCGGACGGTACAGTCCCTGAGGCCGATTCGTCTCAAGCGGTTGATATCCCAGATTTGCCATTGTGAATAAAGAGTCCCAAGGCTCTTTCCTTGGAGGGCTTTTCTGTCTATTGGCTTTTCTCACCTGTCATTCTGTCTTCGCTGTGTGTCTATGTGCTGGTGTGTGATCCAGACATTGAGCACATGGCGCTCCTGGTTGTCGAAGTTACCACATCGGGAGTTGTGAGTATTCAGTTTAGAGGTTTTGGGTAGCCTGGGGTTACTACGGGATTTAAGCAAGTTCAGGTCTGAGTATTCGGGTCAGTGTGTTGAGATGTATGGACTGCTGGGAAGTTTTCACCCTGGAATATAAGTGTGGGATCGCTTGCAATTCTCACAGGTTTTGATTGAAAAAGGTTCAGGTTGTGAATACGATTTTGCACTACTCTGTGAGTCTTCGACTCTAGCTGAGTAATGTCTTCTGGGAGTAACATTGACCTAAGAAATAAAACTTCGCAATAGAATGTTATCTTGTGACAAATCGTAACTTTCGTATTTGTTTCTGTGGTTGTGAAAACAAATTTGTATCATTATGCTCCAGTTTGGTATTTATTTGTCATTACAATTAATGAAAATGTGATATTGTAACATTGCTACTGTTTCATTCAAAAAATCTGGATAGAGAAGTTTTGAGTACGATATCACGAGATAGTAATAATGGAGTTTAAATAAATATTTTATTGCCATTCAGAGTGGAGTCTTTGCATGGTCAAGAATGACTACAATGATGAGTCATATGCATTCATATTTGAGGACTTTAAAAAAGCTAATCAGTTCACATTAAAATTTCTTATTTATTTTCTAATTTATATTTTTCCTCTCATGCATCATTCTGGTTTCTATACGAGGCAGTATTCAATCCAGAATCTAAATTGAAAAGTAGTAGCTAGCTAGCAATAAGCAACTTACTAGCAAGTTTTACGAATAGGTTATGCAGATGCTTGAAATTACATAGAGTATTAAACTATGTGACCCTTGTATAACTCACGATCGGTATACAGTTGCTTGACATTAGACGGAGCATAAAGTAAATGAACTCTTGTTAAGGTGATCACTGATCTCCCTACGTCAGTGGCTCAAGGGCACACGCAAAGGTAATCTCAATTGAGATATCTGGAAGAGAACATAGGGTACTGAAGACCTAATCTAGGAACTTGAGATACTGCATGAGCTCATGTACGCACTATCGAGGCACCATAACCGAGGCTTGTGAATCGGTGGCAATTGATGACATTAAAGCAAGTTCGACTGATTCTCCTTGAACGCCTTGTCTACTAGGATAGGTATCCACGTAGTGTTCGTCCTCTGATATGCTCAACAAGTATGGTGTCTGGATATTTAGCTCGTTGACGATGTCCACAGCTACACTTGCATTTGAGTTCTTCATGAGGACGTTCACCAGTTGAGACATCGTTGCGCGTTTCTTGGGATCTACTTGCAAACAAGACAGAGCCATGTTCACCACGAGCAGGACTTCTTCTTCGTCATAATCGCCCTCCAATCTTTTATCGACCAAGTTCAAAACCTTGCCTTCCGTGTACAACGTTATAGCCTGCGCATGAGGGTGTGAGAGCCGAAGAGGAAAATAGCTGAATCAAATTCGCGACTGTATTCTGATGAGTGAATTTGACAGAAGTAGCAGAGAAAGGAGGCAGATAAGTATCTCCTAAAATCCTGAAGCTCTATGAGCTGGATTTGTAATGTTCGTGCTATAATGATGCAGTGTATTTTAAGAATCACCCACCCAGGAGCGTAGAATACTTTGTTCCTGTGGCAACTTCAGATCGATGCACGGTCTTCCAGCAACGATTATCAGCAAGACAACACCAAAGCTATACACATCCAGTTTCTCGGAAACGACGCCTTCTAGTGCATACTCTGGTGCAAAGTAGCCCCTGTAGTTGCATGGAAAGGAATCCAAATTATTAGTGCCTTGCTCTAAGGGCATACCACATTCAATTCTCAACTGCTGAGTCTCACCAATTGAGTGCAACTATCGTACATTTGATACACATGAATAAATTCGGCCTGTAGAAGTACCTCGTTCCTCCGATGTTGAAGGTTACTAGAGTGTCATTTGAATCATTAGCTGGCCGGACGAGTCCAAAGTCGGCAATCTTTGCGTTGTAATTCTTGTCCAGAAGAATATTTTCCGGCTTTATGTCTCTGAAAGTTCAGAGGCAGGTGACAGTGTATAATGCGGAGAAATCACACACCTCAAAATAAGCCCTAAACGAAGCACAAGCATGCAGAAAACTCCATAATATGTGCCTTCGCATGTTGTCACGGTGTAATGCATAAGTACAAGCTGCATGAGATATCGTACATCATTGGCTTTCGGTGTTAAAAAACGTGCCCTTCACATCTCTTTAGATTTGTCTTAGACAGAACAGATTCAAAACGTGGAAGGTTTGCAGTTGAGGTTGGAGTCTAAGCATTCTCACCTGTGAATCATACCCGGCTGCAATTCTTCATGTAAGTACGCAAGTCCACGAGCTATGCCCAAGCATATGTTATAACGTCGTTTCCAGTTCAAGACGGTCGCACATTGAGGACCTGAAACTGTCGGTCAGCGGCAAACATAAACTCTGAGATAATCAGCATATTCTTCGAAGTGTTTAACCGCATGCTCTCTATTCTATTATACAAGTGAGTCCGAAGACAGAAAATCTCTCCTTCTTAGTCCCACACACGCGTAGCTTACTTAATATCCGATGCATCCACTTAAACCCTTCGCAATAAAAGCTCAGAATCTTTCAAAACAAACAATGGAGCACATTATTCTTCCCTGCTAGCTTAATATACATGAAACATCTTCTATCTATTGTGATTCTAGTAGATGCATTATCATTAAAGAACTCAATATTCTCTCACCAAACAGTGCTTCTGACTCACCGAACAGTGCTTCTGCGAGGCTCTTGTTCTCCGCGTATTCGTAAATCAGCATTCGTTGCTGATTCTCCCATACACAACATCCCTTGAGTTGAATCAGATGTCTATGTTTGATACCAGAGATGTTTACCATTTCTTTCAAGAAATCAGACGTACTCTGCTTTGTCGGAGTGAGTCTCTTCACAGCAACAACACTTCCATCTGCTAGTTTAGCCTGTCAAAGACAGTTACTTGTTATACTTCGATGGGCTCCCTCCACTTTCGACACTTTCCTAGTGAGACAGATGATTCTCAATCCAGGAATACTAGACATACTTCGACAGAAAAAATGAATGAAATCTAATTCCCATTGTTTATAGAGGCTTTAGAGATGTGCCTATGACAATGTCAGGAGTATTACCTTGAAAACAGTGCCAAATCCACCTTTTCCTAACTCGTTGGAACTAGAGAAACTGTGTGTAGCCGTTTTGAGTTCTTCGTAGCTGAAAAACGGTGGCTTCACGTGCTCTTTTGCTAGAGCTGAGAAAAGTCAAGGGTACTAGCGTTAATACGAATAAGAAGGAGCAGCTTTTTACACTAACAAGGTTGAAACAAGAGATCATTCTCAAGACGATGAGCCAAGTGACTCCTCAAAATCGTATGGTAACAACTGACCTTCTTGTATCTGTTGAAGTTCACGACTACGTCTTCGCATTTTTCGCGTGAAGAATATGACTAAACAACTCATAAGTAGCACGAATATTCCAGATACCAGGCCCACGGCAATTAGTATTCCTGTTTGTACACCATCCTTTGCTGCGTACGTTCACATACAACACCAGATTTATGATGAGAAATGATGTTTGTAAAGCTAGACTTTTACATAACCAGATGATTTCAGCCCGCATTCTTGACAAGACTTTGAAAATGTGCCTATTCAATATATGAAGATATTCATAAGATATTCCAACGAATTTTGATATTGGTTACAGGAAATAAATAGTGTTCAAGTTCGGAACTCACATGGTGACGGCCAGAAGTTCTCATGCTCGTCAGATCGGCACATGTATTTTTTGATGAACACTAAATTCTCTCCCTCATTATCATTGCGGCACCACGGATTATCTCCAAGCCTTTGAAATTACAACGAGCGCGTTTCAGAGCAGTTTTTTTAAACAGAAATCCATCTAAGCAGCAATGTAATAATCCTTGAATTTTCAGACTTTGACATGCGGGTACATAAATCAGTTGGAAAACGAACAAATTCAAAATCAGCGTTTTGGGTAGACAAGATCTGGACATCTGAACCAGGTCAGAAAGTAAGAAGGCTTATTACTTACAAGATAAAAGTTTGTGGAGACTGTATCGAGAGCAGCTGCTCAGATAGTGAAGATGGCACTACTATTTTAGTCTCTAAAGATTGAAGGCTCGGTGAGATAATGCTGTGTATTTGATTTCCAGCCAAACGCAGCTGAATTAGAGGAGGATCGAAATGCTCCTCGAATCCATCGAGACTCCTGCCTTCGGCAACTTTCTTATACCACGTTGTAAGATTCAATTCCACGAAGCTGTTGTTTCTCAAATTCCTGAGTGAAAAAATTATAAATACTTCAATAAAGTCTCGAGGAACTACACTCATGTACAGAAGTTGGACAAAAAGGTTTTGAATTGTTGATAAATTCTACATCGAACATAGAATTCAGGAGTCATTTTAGTACTCAAAATCAACATCGCGTTCTCAGTTATAAGGAAAGGACTATAATATCATATATTGTCTCTACAAATATGAAAATCATCCAGCCAAATGCACCGCCTCTGTCCGTAGAGCGGAAGGAGTAATGGAAATCGAATCATACAGAGCTGACCGCTTATCTTGCTTGTTCCAACATACTTAAAGAGTTTTATCTTGATTAAGTTGAATAAACATCTAGTGACCTTGCTACATTATCTACTGATATGATACGAGGACTGAGAACTGCTACTCACACAAATTGAAGATTGCGACTGTTCCAGATGCTGTCAGGCACTGTACCGTTCAGATTATTAAAGCTCAAGTTCCTGAAAACACGATCTTTTTCCTCAGTCTCATTTAGAATCGAGATACTTTTAAACAATAAAAGAAAACATTTCTCGACTGCAAGGGATCCTCACGTCAAATTTTACTTTGTATAATCAGAATCTCCAAGTCTAATTTCACTTTGATTTAAACGTGTACTTACAGATTTTTCAAATTACTGAGTTTAGTGAAGTTGACTGCTAACTCGCTCGACAATTGGTTGTTGGACATATCCAAATTCTCCAAGTTTTCTAGCATTTCTATATTCCAAGGTACCGCTCCGACGAATTTGTTATTGCTGAGGTCTCTGCAGGCAACACAAGGTTTATATAAAAAAAAAACTGTTTTTGACTCGACATCATTTTGTGTTAGCAGGCCTCTCGCGTTGGTCGAGCACTATGAGCCCTTATATTGAACCCAGATCTGGAGTAGTCAAAAAGAAACCAGAATATACCCAATGAATTTGATATGGATATTTCCAATTGCAAATTTTTGATGCTGCGGAACCTTGGACTCGCCTCTACCACAGCTGCATGTCTCAGGACATCCGGAACTAAAAGACATCTCGTTGCGACACGGCCTATCGGTGATACGGTGATATCCCAGCGTGGTCACAAGCCATGGGAAGCTATATAATAGTCTTCTATATATTCGATTATAAAACTTGGGACAAATGCTATAGGAGGTGTTTAAATACAATATCTTCGAACAGTGCAGGATGAAGAATCCTGATTGAGTGACAATTCTGACGGAACGTCACTGGATATGGGACCAACAATAATAAGAAGCACTTCTGAAAATAGTATACAATCGAATCAGAAACTGATCGTTGAACTCACAAGTTTTGAATCGATTCGTCCAATGCTCCAATTAATGAAATCAGTGTTCCATTGAACAAATTGCTCGAAAGTGATCTGCAGTAGTTTGAATGGGAAGGTCGTTAGAATGAACAATATGATACTTCCTCAGTGAAGAATAACTATTTAAACAGTTTACTTCATTCCAAGTTGTCTTCTAACTCTATCTTGCTACTCCATCTAACTGAATAACGACGTATGACTTTATAACAAAACTGAAGCCAACGATGCTGACGATTGAATTAGTTTCGTAATTTGAATTCACCTCGAAAATGTGTATAAGTCAGACGATTTTAACAGATAGTAATCTACGAGCTTTGTTGATTAGTATATAGCAAGATCTTGTTACAAAAGATCTTGCTTGCGTTGTGAGATGTTGAATAACTTACAGCATTTCCAGATTGTCAAGTGATTTTGGACTGAACAATGGTAGTTCTCCAGACAGCTTGTTGTGTCCCAAGTTCCTAAAGTTGGCAAATTCGAAACTTTAGATGCATGCAAATGATGATTGACGTTGTGTTCAAACTTATACGTTTACACCTTCAATCAAAGATTGATATGAAATTGCTACAATTACTGCAATGACCACACCCAGTATGGCACAACTGATGGAACCATTGTCATCATAGAGACACCTACTTTCATCTGTCATCCGAAGCGCGAGTGAGTAGGGTTCTTACAGTTCTCTGAGTGTGCGGATTCCTCCAAGAGAATCAGGAAAAGAGTCGTTGAAATTGTTTTCAGACAGATCCAAAATCGTCAATTGACTCAGATTTCCAAGTTCAGTAGGCAATACACCGGCCACACCTTCGCCAGTAAGATTTCTGTCAGACAAACGGACCTGTCAAAGGAAGCTATATACTAATCAATAGAAAGGCAAAAAACTGTAGGGATCTGATGTGACACATCCCTGAGCATCTCATCTTAGCAACAGTCACTAGTGATATTGGCTTGCGTCCATTGAATTTTTTCTTTGACAAGTCCAAGACGGTCAGAGGACTTCACAAATCAAGGTTCAACTCTCCTCACACGGCTTTGAAGTGAGGTTTTTGCAACGTCAAGAAGTTCTCATTCATGTCTTCGGTGCGTGGCAAGGATTAATCTCAATTTACACACCTTGCAAAATTTGAGCTGTATATCGTCATCGTCAGAAGGATATCAATTCTTGTGTTTCTATATATGTAGATTCTGTCAATTCTTGTGTTGCTACAGATGTAGATTCTCATTGTGTGATCAGTACCATTGTAAGGGATTCGCGGATTACAAACTTACATTTGGGTTATTGTAGGGGGCAACTCGATACTGCAAACTAGCCATTCCCAAGGAACTGGCAAGCATGGATCGCCAGCCGTGTCTACAGAGCTTAATGCGGTCTCGGTATAAACCTTCCTGACTGCATCCACTGAGAAAGTTTGAAGAGACAAAACCGTATTATTTTCTCAGTCATTCAATGACTTTATTTTGCATGCATAGCTGACGCTGAACAAACGAAATAAAATGAAAACTGTGGCCTCACTTACCATCAAGTTTTGAAGTTCTCACTGCCACCGCTGCAAACTCACCATGAATCTCTACTGCATTTACCAGAACAGGTGCTTCTGTGGTTTCATTTGGTTCAATTGTGATTGTAAACGAATCGCTACGGATGACCTCTTCGTCGCTCAATATATGTATAAAACCGGGAGAAACAGGTACCTCAAACGGCGACCAGACCCCAGCTTGATCACCGTCGATTAGTCTGACGGATTGACGAGGATTCACATCTCCAAAAACTACGTTTGAACATAACATCTGGAACCAGAATGTTGGTAGTGGACGGAGGGCTCTAGCGCTCTTCACATTAACCTCAAAGTTCATGGTAGACGACAAATTTTTTCCCCTCCATATTGATCTCATAACTGCAATAGGGAAGCGAATATTGGTTCCGCCAAACCCAAGGTTTGCATCTTCGGTTCTGTTGTAAGCCTCAAACTGCGCTCCTTCGGGAATTCGTGGGGATGACCATATACGATCGAAAGGGTCTGCAGGATACCTGCGTGCAGAACGAAGCAAAACGTCAGTGGTCACCATGCAGTTCACATGCTGGACAGCATGATGAGGTAAATCTAGTCTCTCTCCACTCTTCTTCAATTCTCATTTGCATGTTCACCTGAGAGGAGGCGACTCAAAATCAAGTATTCCTCCGAAGTCCAAACGATCAACCAGCATCAGATAGCTCGACTGTTGCTTGTCTTTCGACTGACCAGATCTGCCATAGGTATCTGGATAGAACGGACGCAACTCCAGAGTTGAGATAGCTGGCATTGAGGACTTGTCTTCCAAGGGCACGAGACAAACGTAAAATCTGTCGTCCATTGAAGAGACGACCAGCTCGATTATCCGCGGCATAGATGGCAGTAGCTCGATTGTGGTGATGTAGGTGGAATCGACAGTAAGGTAGAACCGAGTGGCATATCCCGATAATGCAGTTCCATTCACAGTCAAATTTTGGCTGGGAAACATTGCTCGAAGAAGATAATTTCGTGATCCTTCAGTTGCGTTAATTGGCAAGAGGTAGCAAAATTTCGAGCGTGTCATTTGTATGGGAAGAAACACCAGAGCAGTTTTCAACTGTTCGCCATTCGGCACACTCACTGAGCTCTCGTTGTAATAAACGTCGGCGGTGATGATCACCTTCTCTTGAGAAAGACTTTCGAATGACTGCAGATGAGTCTCATCAGTGATCCACTGGAGTGAGGTGATAGGGTCTACTCCACTCACGCCGCCACAGCTGATGCTTATAAATCCTAAGTTGCAAAATTTTGATCAGTACTATCGCACTGGCCTTATTTATTATTTTCGTAGCTTCACACAATCGCCAATAATTCGCATTGCAATATCTCGTTGGAGCTGCAAGCTAAAATTGAATTAAGTTTTTTGATTGAATTCACCGTAGAAAACCAATTTTGCGGACTCACCTTGTGTAGAGCCCTCATTAGACTGGGAGACGACCGGAGAAAGAATCAGGTTATATAATAAGACCCCAGAAAGAATTCGAGCCAAGAATCTTCTGCTTATGCTCCCCAATTTCATTTCAAGCTGGCTTGTGAGTTGCAGAGAAAATTGACACAAAACTCTGCCCGCCATTAGTTGCCAGATATCACGGCTCCAGCTTGGGCAGATGTCTGCAGCGTAATCAGACAGCTCAGTGATATGAGTGCTCCACATACTGTGCCCACAGCAATTAGCATACTTAATATGACGAGGTCCATATACAATATCTCAATTGATTTGAGATTTGATTTTCGTGAAGCTGATATGTAGCTAAGAAAACAAATAAGGCGGATGTTCATGCATGACTACTACAGATGCCTGCAGGTCCCAAGATAACTCAATACATTGTGAACTTGGTAGGTGCATCAAACTTTCACGCCCGTAAGAACGGCGCAAGTCTAGTTGTGAGGAAGACTAAATTCACTCCCTTACGATCATGGTGGAACCAAGAGTCAACACCGAGCCTTTGAGATCGCAACGAACAATGTAAAGAGCACTATTCTTCCAAAACTCTGATTCAGCGTGTGGTACTTGTAACCGGCGGGCAATTGTGACAGAACTTCGAAGGAGCCTTGCGCTCACGATTCCCCGGGCTAGAAAGCTCGAGCAGTTCTCAGCGCTTCCGCACTGCATTTGGGATCGAGGGTTGGACTGAGGCTTATAGTGACACCTTCTTCAGCCACTTCTACCGGTGCTTGGATGAAATCTCTCTCGCTTCTCCACTCCAGGGTCCGTGCCAGCATCTTTACTGCAATTGATGAAGCCTGAAATAATCAACTCTTGTACGTCAAGATATTTGCCACCCAGTGTATGCAGAAATTAGAACTTCTGAGGCAGAAGACATATGTGCAAAGACATGCCAGGTTTTCCCAGAAAATGCTCTTTCCTAAACCTGACCGTGAATGCAACGCAGATTGATATGCGAAGTGTGAAGCGGTTATGCGAAGTGTGAAGCTACGAAAGCGGCTGATTAAGCGTCCTGTCGCTGCCCAGATAATCTTTCCCATACTTGCTCGTAAAGACAAGCTTCAGATACACCGGAAATCTCAGGGCTAATATCAGCCTTAAAAAGCACGCCTCTCTTGCCATCGAATGTTCACTAAGAGCAACAGAAGACGGCCGGATATAAACTTTGCAAGAATCACCTTTCTGAGATTGAGACAAAATGGGTAGACAGGCGAGTTGAAGGTGAGAAGCGCAGAAACAATCAATACTGTATCTTGAAACTTGCTCTCCTGCCTTCCAGTTTACTCTGTCTTCGAAAGACGAGAAGTCTACGCACTATCAGCACCAGAAATTTGCTATCGAAATCAACGAGATTTATTTTGTGCCCAGTGGGTCGACCCGGAAACTCGACAATCCAATACAGTGAAAAGGATTACCAATACAGCTAGTCTACTTCGAAAGAATGTCTGCACTTATCATCTGGACCACGTGTTCTGCTGTGGCCAGTTGCCGAGAGCGTTCCAGTCGTCAAATAAAGGCTTTGCGTATAATCTCCTCAACTGGCAAACTCAGAAAGACTTCAATTCAGCACGACTCAATTACTTCGGATTGCAGACGGGAAGCTCTTGCTCCCAGAGCGCCGCACGAAGCATCGCATACGTTCATAAAAAAATATTCCATACTGTCAAGATTGTCATAATAACCTCTGCATCCGCCGTTTATCTTCCGACGAGTGATCGTCGCCTAAGTATACAAGTAATATAATTAAATCGTATGTACGAGCACCAATGAATTGTACTCTGAACGGTTTTCAAACCACAATCCGCGTGGGTCACACATTCTCGTTCTGATTGTTTTTCAATAACTTTGCACATATAAATTTCAGTATAATAATGTATAATAATAATGTAAGTGCCGGAGTAGATATTTCTGATTAGTCTACTCGAGGCTACGATTCTTGTACGGATTTGTGAATATGGTAGGTATGCTCTGTCTTGATGAGTTGGATCACGACATGGGGATCGGGCCGAAGACATGAGTAGTACTAAAATGTGAGTAGATGTCAGCAGCACCTTCAGCGAGTACTGCGTACGTGGGATTTGTGACACAGCGTAGGCATGGCGTGGTATTTGACGAAGGCCGTCTATCTGTTGCTTTTTTGACGTGGTCCCTGATTGCGGTAGAGGAGGCTCCGTGCGGTGCGGTCTTGGCACCATTCTGTCAGCAGCACCTTCTGCAAAACTGCGTAGGTGGGAAATTTTGACCAGGCGTTGACGTAGCGTGATTTTGGACAAAGGTCGTTCCTATGTGGGCTCCATCTCCACTACGTTGAAATTGATGTTGACTTTAGAAGACCCCGGTCTGGCCAATTGGTCTCTGAAGTTCAGAGACCAAACGGGTTACATTCAGAGTCTGAACGTAACCCGTTTAATCAGACCAGGGCCAAGTAATATTTGCGAACGGGGTTGGAAGACCCCACCAAGTCGTACACGCGGGACGTGATCAGACCACCTTTGACTTCGCGGGATGATTCTTCGAGCTTTCTGGACTGTCCCTTGGGTGGAGATTACAATACGCCATGTTCCCCCTGTGTTTCTGCATGGAAGAATGCAGTGCCCGACAGCTGTCAAGAAGGTTTCGATTCCTTCGGCCTGAAGTCCTAGGAACCCATGACTGGAACGACATCCACATTCCCCGGAATTTTTTTTTCAATTTTTCGCTTGCAGTCAAAGGCCGGGAGTCTGTCTGGTACAGTATACGGTCTCGAGGGCTGCACTTTATGGTGTACGGGTCCACCCGCCAACTGTGCCTCAGCTCTTCGAGGGTGGCTGGTGGGGAACTTATTTCGTAAATCTGGACATCGTCGTACATGGAGTACGACGGGAAGAAGTCAGAGACGAGAGAAGTTTCGAATGCCGGGATTTCTTCACCGTGGTTGTGTTTTGCCAAATTATGGAATATGAAGAGTCAATTCTCCTTGTTTCTCAATCTGGGCTCCGTTGACACCTTCATTAACAACCCATTGACCATATCAATGCCTGCGTAGAATTATATCGAGATATTATTGATTTTTAATGTTGGGGCTTGGGAAGAAATCTGTTCCTCGAGGTCTACGGAATCTATTTTTCATTCTATGATCAAAAAGTTGGAAGTCTATGAACATAAATGAACATTTTCATGCACACAGCATTTTTCCAAAAGCCTCTTTCCTCTACTTTATTCGTCACCTTATCTATGATTGAACAGATTGCAGCTAGATACCTTGTAAAACATATCATGGAATTCAAGGAAATATCTTTCACTTTTTGAAATGATGTATTTCTGTTACGTTTATTTTTTAAAACAATGTTTATAATATGACTCCCTATTTATTCACATGTCATATCACCAGGTAAAACCTACATAGATGTACATTCAAAACGTTAATTCAGATTAATTATCACAATGACAAGCATTTCCAAGAGAGTTGACGTCAACCGTAGATGATTGATATAAGTGAGAATACATATTCATTAACATCAATCATCTATGTATAGAATACTTTATGAAACATACAGATTGTGAATCTTTGCTAACTTTCATATATAGCTGCGCATGTTCGTAATTTTGCTTGTAAAAAGAGAAAGAGCTTGAAGACATCATTTGACATGAACAAAATTCTAAATGCAATCATGCATAAAAGAGTTAAGAAAGGTATAAAGAAAATATTTACAAAACATCAAGATAAAAAATTTCATATAGTAGACTTAAGTTTAACTGAATCCAAATCCTATGTACACTATAGAGATAAATAGACACAGACTTGAAGAGATTGAAGATTAAATTAATTTTTTATTATGAATAGAAAAGTCATGTAAAATATAAGCATATAAGAAGAATAAAGCAATATAAATTTTAGAAGGTTGGATCATGAATATAAAAATACATTTATTATAATTTTATCTTCTGAGATCTTATCTTAGATCTTCTAGTTATCTTGTCTCGTCCATCCTCCTGCACATCTTGGTTCTTGTTATAACCTCCAGAATTCTCAGCTTCTTCCATCACGGACTTGTCTACTGCCCTAATTTATATCCAGTTTTGTCCTTTCTTTTGACTTTTCCCTTTTCTTTTCTTTCGCTCTTTAATGAATGCACTTTAATGAATGCAGCCTGCCTCGATTGGCACTGTTCACCTGATCTCATCCAGCCATCACAATGTTTTTATCGTTTAACTCCCTTAAAGTTCACATATATTCAATTCGCTACAAACTTTCTCGGGTATGTGATGTGAAGACGATCATGAGAATGTCTACCAACCGGACGTACCGAGATAAGTTATAATCGACCTCCAAGTCATAATCTGGCAGTCAATCATGGTTATAGATAATGTCTATTGCTCTATCAGAGGGTTACAGTATTTTCATTGATGCAGTGTCCAGCCCTCTGAAATCATAAATCTCTACACTTACAGCCTCGTCTTTAAGCGACAGAACTCATTGCTACTTGTGTGAACTCCATCGTGAAGTCACCTCAGAATCTGCAAAGTGGCTTTGAATAGGTCACTCGATTGTTCTTTATCGAAGTTCACTGTGAGCTTTAATAGCCTGCTTTCTCTCCAAACTCTGTGGCAATTCGAAAGTTGTTACTTTACCGGCGTGAATTTTGGCTTTGTGGATGATGATGCAAGCAAAACTGACCTGCAATGCAGCAAAGGATGGTTCATCAACACCCTTCCTCTACAAAGATGACATGAGTCATCTTCGCTTATCATACTAGCCATGTCACAACAGCACATACAGTATTTATAGCACTAGATTTATATAGAGTCAAATTATCAAGTATTTCTGTAGAGGTTTTATTGTGTCTAATTAGTGAAAATGTGATGTTGTAACATTGCTCCTGTTTTCATTCAAAAAATCTGGATAGATAAGTTTTGAGTACGATATCACGAGATAGTAATAATGGAGTTTAAAAAAATATTATTTATTTTATTGCCATCCAGAGTGGATTCTTTGCATGGTCAAGAATGACTACAATGATGATTCATATGCATTCATATTTGAAGACTTAAAAAAAAGCTAATCAGTTCACATTAAAATTGCTAATTTATTTTCTAATTTCAAATTTTTATTTTTCCTCTCATGCACCATTCTGGTTTCTATATGAGGCAGTACTCAATCCAGAATCTAAATTGAAATGTAGTAGGCAACTAGCAAGTAACTAATCTAACCGACTCGCTTAGTTGCACAAACTTTTACAAACGGCCATACTGCCAGGTGTCAGGGATCCCAGTTTCTTTCTCCTCTTTCTTTCTTTCTTCATCCTTCCTTCGGGCTGCCCCGGATCAGCCGGATTTTATCTCAGTTTTGGGAACGGGGAGGCGGGGCACTTTGCGGGGAGGGCACTTTGCGGCAACCATGTAGAGGCCGCAACGTTGTATCTAGTGCGTTGCAATGATCTACGCCGTAACAATGATCGCAGTCGTGTCGTGGAACGTTGCGGGAAAAAGAACTAAAACTGAACTGCAAGAGGGATAGCTCAGATGGAATCCCTAATGTTTAGACTGTAATATTTGTAATGAAACGGTGATAACAAATTGAGGCGACGAAATTTTAAGCGACAAAGATTAGGGTTTTTGAAAATAGAATCACATCAATATTCTCCAGCTCGTCGTTTCGACGTCGCTTTTGGGTGCCAGTGTCAGTGCTTTGAGGAGCTCGTGCCAGAGCTCGTGCTTGTACTTTTCTTGTCATTTCAGGTGCTTTTGCAGGTGTGGTGACAGCATGGAGGCAGGATGGATTGTGCAGGACCCACCTTATGAAGGCCCTTTCAATTCGTTAATGTTGAATTGGTCAAATGGGACGGCCTACATCAAAAGCTCAAGGCTTAACGATTTTGTTTCGGGAGAGGGATCTTGTCATAGTGATGCGAAGACAGAATTTGTGACACGTTGCTCATACAAGGGTGGAGGTACTAGGCACAATTGGGAATCGTATGCAATGTATTAGTGCAAGTATGGTACTCCAGAAAGGGGCAAGAAGAGTATGCTTTCCTCGAATTTTATTCAAGATCCATCAACAAAGGCAAAATTTGGTCCTGGCAGCAGGAATAGACTAGATCATGATTTGCATCACAAGGGCTGTCAGTGCAGGTTTAGTGCCATTAAACTGCTGTCTAATGATCACATTCCACCAGGAATCACAAAATTGATATACAAGCATAGAAGACACGTAAATGCTGCAGGTGTAGCTTGTCATGGCACAGCGTGTTCGGATAGTGTTGGCTTGCCATCTCAAATGGCGCGCAATTTATCCTCTGAATGCAGGTAACGGCATATTTGTTACATTTTCAATATATTTGTTTATCGTTCACAGTCAATCTCCCGTCATATTTGTAATATCTACAATAAGTTTGTTGTTATTACAGTTTGTAAAACTTTGACACTAAGCAAGCACGTTGTCTAATATTTTTTACGTTCTTATGCCAGGGAGTGGGTTGAATGCGAGTTAAGAAGAGGTTTAACTCCTCCACAAATTCTCATGCGTGCTGCAAAAGCACTGTTTGAAAATCATCAGCGCTTAGGCTATGTGCAAGGGTCCCCTATTAGAGATCATTATATCACATCTGCCGATGTGTATAATATCAAATTGGAACTGGACAAAGAAACTTGGAGAAGGCATGCTAATGATAGAATTAGCACAGAATTATGGATGAAAGCGAATTCATCTCAAGTTGTTTTGTATCAGGCACCAAAAAGTGATCCATTTAAACCATTGAGGCTTGCTGTTACAAGACCCTTGCTCCTAGATTGGTTGCTAAAACATGGAAATGGAGGTTGTGTTGCTATAGATGGAACGCATGGCACGCAGAAGTATAAGGTAATATTCTACTACCACATTTTGATGTTTTTATCATCAGGCTTCCATGATTATGTATATTCTACCTTACTATTTGCAATCTCTGCAAGATATTTGAAAAAATGACGGTTTGGAGCTTTAACCAATCCTGTAAGAGATTATTGAACGTCTCAATGTGTGATGTATATGTTGTTTTATATACCTTGATCACGTCTAAATTATCAAGACATAAAAATAGCGAATCATTCATTTGTATCAGGTTTTATCTTAGTATCAATGAAGATGAATACTTTGTAGACGATTGCTAGCAGCAAACTGAAACGTTTATTTCATTTTTTGCAATGCAGTATCCACTGTACACCCTGATGGTGTTTGACGAATATGAACACGGACATCCTACTGTTTTTGGATTCCTCGAAAGAGAAGAAACATAAGATCTGGTGGATTTATTATTTGCAGTGAAGAAGATGGCCCAACATTATATCCCTGGATGGATGCCCTCGTGCTTCATGACGGATTGTGCTGACAATGAGAGACTTGCCCTAGACATTGTTTTTCCGCATATCCCTGTATTTCTTTGCATATATCATGTTCAAAAAGCATGGACAAAGAAATTGATTGAGGTTGTGAGTGGTCATGAAAAGAGAGCTATTATGAATGCTGCTTTAGAAGACCTGTGCTTTGGAAGCACATTAATTGCTGATGGAGAAGAATTTGATGTGGAAAGATCTGCTGCGATGAAGCTTCTGTTATTTTACAAAAAATTTCAGCTCTCTGAGCCACAATTTGTGAAATACTTTCAAACAGAATGGGAACCTTGTATGGGTAAGTGTAAGTTTGTAACATGTGCATTATATTTGAAGTTATTACATTTTGGAAGTTGTTTTTTGCTTAATGAACTTCCACAAGCACATCTAACTTACTGTTTTGGAATTCAGGTCAGTGTATTCGTGATGAACGGAGGAAGACATGTCGTAACAATCAAGATACCAACAACGCTATGGAATCAATGCATGGACACATGAAGGATTTCCTTTATGGCTGGCGCAGCAATGCACATGAGCAACGTTTGGATCATACAGTATATGGTCTGCTATGGGATTTTGTAATGAGAATTTGGTACAAAGATCAGAAGAAGCTACTTGGCTTTATTCCAAATAAGAAGAAAGATCAACGTGTGATTGCTGTGATCATGAAGACAAGATCTATGCTAACTGTCCCTGTTACTTGGCCTCATGGCTATGCAGGCCCCGCATTAGTGGGCTCTACATCAAAGCTAAATAGAAGGTATCTTGTAAATTGGAGACGAGAAAAGTATGCATGCGAGTGCTTCTGGTCACTCCAAGGCAACTTTTGCAAACATCAGGTACAACTCAGATTGTAATTCTGTTTTTGATTACATATATTGGTCGTATCTGTATTTTTTATTAACACTGCTTGATTCATGTGTGTCTAGATTCTTATTGTACGAAAGATAGGATATTCCGAGACCAACATCCGCATTTGTTTGGGCATACGGTTTGGTGGAATACGAGGTGGAATCAAAGAGCTCTTTGATAAAGGTCCTTCATCACAGATATATGATTTCAATGAGGATCCAGTCCTTCGAAGAGAACTTGCAGATATTGAAGTCAAAGATGATCGCCATGACACCTTCAACCTTACAGAAGGTACTTCAAACTATCATTTTAATGTGCAATAACTGCATATATTTTGCAGAAATGACAATTTGAGTGATGAAACTACCTAACCGTACATGTTCTATGTGTTATCAGATACGTACAGCCCTGTAAAGAAAGCATCAAAGCCAACAGATCTGGAGGAGGAAGAAAAGACCAAGCGTGTTCTTCATACTCAATTGGTATGGCTGAAGGACTTTTTTGATGAAAATCCTAGTATGATGAAAGTGGGAGAGCTAGAGCTCCGGCATTGCATTGGACGTATCAAGGAGTCTCACCAAGCATGGAGTACTGGTAGAATACTTCCTGTTGCAGACATGTGGCGTACATCCATGCTAGATAAGCCTAGCTCATCATTCAGGAAATTGAGTTGGCTTGAAAAATTAGCAGGCATTAAATGTCCTAAGCCACAGAGATTACTTGAAACAGGAGAAAGATTTAGAGCCCCTACCGCAGATTTAGGAAAGGTAGAAGAAGGAGCTTTACAGCTCAGACTTTGAAAGGGCAGGCAGAAGGCCAAAAGAACTCAAAGTCTGATCAAGCAATTCCTTCAGGCAAGTGCAAATAGAGAAAAACGCAAAGAGGAACAAGCTAGAATTCTAGGAGAGACGATCGACTTGACTCTTTCTCCCTAAGTTGTTTGCTTGTGATGCATAAATGTTGTTTCAATTTCATAGTAAAATGAAACCATTTTGTCCAATTCCACATTTACCTGATTTGCATGCGCTGATTACAGTTTGGAAATTTATCATGAACTCACGGTACACAAATTATTTGTTCAATGATGACAGTCAATGTTGCTAAGATGACGTTTCAAAATTAAGAAACTTGATTCTACGTATTTTGATATTATTGAGATCCAACTTTTGATATATTAATGAATGTATCTGAGTGCTACTCAAGTTATATTAAAGGTGTGCTAGAAGAGACGTCTCTATGTAAGGTCTTTCTTGTTGGAGCTTGTTGGATTGCAAGAAGACGCGCCATCAGCTTGGATGTAACAGCTTGATATTCTTTAGTCAAAAGTCTTTGGAATTCCATGAGCTGGAGGCAGTGAAATGTGCAAGGATGAGAAGTAACTTACAGCACCAGTTAGATCTTGCAAGACTTGAGCTTAGAATGTGTGATCTTGCTTGAATATTGACCCTCAGAACTTTACTTGTTCATTGCATATAGATTTACTTAAATAATGGGAAAAAAAACTCCTGTTTGAAGTTGAGGAATTAATCCTATCCATATTTGGACATGCACTTCACCTCTATATTCAATGACTGACCACAATAGTCTATTAGACTGGACCATAGAATTTTTGGGTACACTTGTTATGATGAGGTTCAGAGCATTGCACGTAAGTAGCGATGACATTCATTCGTTGCATCTTTCAAAAAATACAAACTTTTTTGAAAAAAAAGTCACGTACACAGTAAAATCCCACATGTTGTATTGCCAATATGTTGAGGTTGGAGATAAATTCATTCGATTTGTCATGGTTGTATCTCTTAAAACTTTGATGTTCATTATTAGACTGTATTGTGTATATTCATCTCATATGCTTCAATTCCGGCAAAAGTAAGTAAAACATTTTTTAAAGACAAAGGTGGGTATGGAATCACAATTGATGATATTTCAGATGATAAAGAAGTTGTTAATATTTTGGCAATCGGACCTATTTTGACAAGTATGATATAATATCCTAGAAATAATATCCTATTTTGAGAATAGGATATTTTTTCAAAACTACCATATATGTAAAGCTAGGACTGAAATCGTAGATTTGACTATGAAACTCATGAAGCTAATATAAACCCATGAATTTGAATCCATGACTATTTTTTTTTTAGGTTTGAAATGAGAAAAATGTCGATTAGCCTGTCGAGCAACGAGTAGCCTGTCGAGCGCCTGCAAGGCGCAAGTTGCATAAGGTTTGGTTACCTTTCAGCTCTCCTCTCGGTCGCCTTACGAGTGAGAAAGGAACATCCGGTTCCTTTACGAGAGAAAGTACTGCCCGATAGCAGCTGTGCCCATTACTTCCGTCTGATATGTTAGCGAAGCTAGAATAAAATCTTATGAGAATAATTGAGAGTAATCGAGAATAAACTCTTCAGCTTATGCTGTCACATGCTGAGGTCGTTTCTCCAGATACCTATTTCAGTAAGCTCATGAATGTAGTTTCAGAGGCCTCCTGTGCTGAAGTGTCGTGGACTTTCGAGTGATTTCGAGTCAATCGAGGTAAGTGTAAGTGACTGTTCTTAATGCGCAGAGATTTGGATACAAATTCCATCGAAGGACCTATACCACCCGAGCTTGGAAGTCTTCTGAATTTTACACTCAGGTAAGCAACTTCTTTCTTGAAACGACCTGAGAATCGACTTGAGGATGGCAAGCATTTCATTCCACAAATTTAACTACTGCGCTGTAGTAACTCACAGATGTTCGTGTTTGTTCATTTCACTGAGTGATGAATATAATCATAATAGCATGATTGGCATGTTTGTCAAAGATTCTCTTTGGAAAGTCGTTTCTCCAGATACCTATTTCAGTAAGCTCATGAATGTAGTTTCAGAGGCCTCCTGTGCTGAAGTGTCGTGGACTTTCGTCTGATTTCGAGTCAATCGAGGTAAGTGTAAGTGACTGTTCTTAATGCGCAGAGATTTGGATACAAATTCCATCGAAGGACCTATACCACCCGAGCTTGGAAGTCTTCTGAATTTTACACTCATGTAAGCAACTTCTTTCTTGAAACGACCTAAGAAACGACTTGAGGATGGCAAGCATTTCATTCCACAAATTTAACTACTGCGCTGTAGTAACTCACAGATGTTCGTGTTTGTTCATTTCACTGAGTGATGAATATAATCATAATAGCATGATTGGCATGTTTGTCAAAGATTCTCTTTGGAAAGTCGTTTCTCCAGATACCTATTTCAGTAAGCTCATGAATGTAGTTTCAGAGGCCTCCTGTGCTGAAGTGTCGTGGACTTTCGTCTGATTTCGAGTCAATCGAGGTAAGTGTAAGTGACTGTTCTTAATGCGCAGAGATTTGGATACAAATTCCATCGAAGGACCTATACCACCCGAGCTTGGAAGTCTTCTGAATTTTACACTCATGTAAGCAACTTCTTTCTTGAAACGACCTAAGAAACGACTTGAGGATGGCAAGCATTTCATTCCACAAATTTAACTACTGCGCTGTAGTAACTCACAGATGTTCGTGTTTGTTCATTTCACTGAGTGATGAATATAATCATAATAGCATGATTGGCATGTTTGTCAAAGATTCTCTTTGGAAAGTCCTTGTACACTTGGTACTGTATAGTATTGATGCTTTCAATTTTTAAAACGAGCAGAGGATAGTTCAGAGACTGTGTGTGGACGAAACCATGGTCTGGGTTAACGTTCCCGCATACACGTCTGTTTTGGCAGAGTTTTGAGTAAAAACGACCTGACCGGAGAGATTCCTGATTCTCTTGGCAATCTTACAAAACTTTTAACGCTGTAAGTTGCTATACACCACACACTAATATTTTGTGAATATCTGTGCATTCTGAAAGAATAAAGTTCATTGTGGATTATTGGCACACGCAATGTGTGTGCCGTCCTTTGCTCTGCAAAATGCAAAAGCATGTATGTGTAGGATCACTGAAAGAATAAGCCGCCCAAAGTAATATTTGATCAATGGTCCTTATCTTTCAGCAAATATGAATACCTGTACTCTTTTGGTCGTTGTGAGCACAATCTGAACTGTCAGGATGTTTTAATGCAGTTCCCTTGACGACAATTTCCTAACTGGTGATATACCAGCCAACATCTTCTCGCTTCCAGAGCTGGTTATACTGTGAGATTCTCTCCCATCCTTTTAAGATAGATGATTATGTTGTAATTTATTCTTAGAGTCAGACCATAGAAGTAAATCAGAACAGAAAATTGTAAATTGGATTGACGGTTTATTATAGTTGGTAATAAATAATTTGATCTAGGTTTCCTTTGTGGATAACGAGTCACAAACCATTACTGTTTAGGGTTTGTGTGTCCAGACTCAAAGTTCCGCCTGATAGTATAAGTCGATGTTCAGTTAGTAAACAATTAGGTAAGAGAGCACTCCTTGCAACTTATCAGTCTTTCAAGTACTTGTTCACACATTTGGGGCTGTTGGATTACTGAGATGTCGGGGTGGGGATAGCAATCTAGTTAAATTTGAGTTGGAGCTTGAAGAGCATTCAAGGTAATGAGTGCTACACTGAAAGTTGTGACCTGAAGAGGATTGCTTAGAATCAACCTGAAGGTTAAATTGAGTGTAGGCAAGTTATGGCAAGTTTAACAGATTTCTGCTGCAGTAGAGACATATCTCGAAGTGACCTATTTGGATCCTTTCAAATAATTATTTTCTAATTATAAAAGAGTTGTTATCAGAGACTTAAAACAGAATTTGAACGCAGGAAAGGGAAAACAAGGACTACAAGACCAAGACTGGCTAATCTTCAGAACAAATTTTTAGAGATAGAGTGAACTCGAACTCATGCCCGAATCTACTGGATACAGATTCCTGCATATGGATAAAGTCGCGTGCTAATTTGCGTTTGTGTGCTCTGCCAACAGAAAGCTCGACAATAATTGCCTGAACGGAACTACTCCACCCACTCTAAATAATTCCGGCACAATAGACTAAGTGAATTATAGATCTGATTACAATAGTATTGTCCTTCTAAGTGCGTCTATTGCAAACTTTGCCCTTGTAAGTTAACTACTATGTAAGACAAAGGTTTTAGACAAAGGTTTTAAAACGAGTTTTGTCTTCTCAGATCCACTTATACCGGCAACTGCTTCAGTGACAGCAATACATCGCAGTCTTGCAAATGCGGTACGATTCATGTTTCTCTTCCAGCCATGAGCTTCTTTCAGCCAGAAGCTTGAGAAGTTTGGAAGGGAGGTGATCTCATCTTATGGACTTTGTTCTAGGCCATTAGGAAAATGTGATTTCATGTGGATATATTTTATAATAAGCCTAACCGTTTCCATATCTCCAGCTGCTACAAGCTTGTGAGTGGATCCTCACCATGACAAGAAACCCATGTTAGAACTGCAAAGTATTGTGTTGGATTCTACTAGAGAGTTCAAACTGAATATACAGGGAAATGCAGGCGCATGAGACGAGTACTTATGTCTGGTGTACTTACTTACTTGGTGTACTTACTGTACTGTATTGTTACTGTACTTACTTGGTGTACTTATGTCCTGAGCAGCAGAGCCAAGAGGAGGTTCAATTTTGGCGATCTGAATGGATGAAGGAAGCAAAATGGCGACTGGAGGACTACGACCACATGCAAAACACCATGTTTCTTCTGGAAAATGCCAAAGTAAGATTCTCCGACTCAAGATCAAACCTCATTTTAATCATGTGTTCATGGACATCCACCTAATTTGTAGCAAGGTACATACAATTTGTATCTCTTGTGATTTGCTCTATGTTCTTTGACATCAGATAATTGGAAGGCCGCCCTTAGTAGGAACATGTAGATTTTTATTCAGTAATTATGGCACAACACCAAGAGCACAGTTTGGGTGGAACTTCATTCAGTATCTTCAGGAATTTGTTGACTGAATTTAATGCTTATTCGTATTGGTAGGTTGAACCTTGACACAAGACTCTTGTTGCGAGCCAGTGGTGTAGTGAGCGGTCATGGCGGAAGTATTTGGGGGCGAACTGGAAGAGGCGATATTGGATAGGCATTATGCGAAGGTGCCACACGTCACCAAGGGCGGTAGACATAACTGGAAATGCCTACTGCAAGGTTGTCCTTTCCCAGGAACATTTTCCCAAAAAAATTATATCGAAAAGCATTGGAGGAAAGACCATGTGGACTGTCATCTCCAAATTACCCAGAAGCTTCCACCTGGACCAAAGACGACTGGAGTTTCCAGGAAGGCTGACAAGAAAGAGTTGATTGACTCTTGTGACAAGCATTTTGGTAATTTCTGTCAATGTTGGATCAAGCACAAGCAAGATAAGTTGGACTTCTTTCGAGGCGAGGTATGCAATTCTTTTTTTGGCAAGTTTTTTTTTTCTATTTGCATTGTTTATTTCAAATTGAATTCAAGTAGACTTCCACAAATAATTTGAGATTTATTATGTTCAGATTGCAATAACCGTATATATGTTGCAGAATTGACATTTTGAGTTGTGTGTCTAGATTATTAAGGGGTATTTCGACCAAAAGATATATTCTCTAATGACGGGAGAGGATATAGGAGAATTGGAGGAACCTCCAGTGATTTTGAGGGCCATGAGACTCGTATGCAAGAATTTCCTTCCAGGTTGGAACATGTTGAGAATTCCAGAGTTTTCAAATTTTGTCTTTGATCATCTTGACGAACTACTGGATCCCTGTAGGAGAAAGGCACAGTTCGTAGATTCTATTCAAGAGTGGGTGAAGGGAGAGCAGGCCAAAAACAGAAATAGCAATCAACGGCGAGGTATGAAGAAGTCAGAGATTGACATTGACGAAGTTGAAGCCATGGAAGATCTTGTGGCAATCTTGAGTGCAGATGACAGTTGCAGCAATTTGAAAGCTGAGGCAAAAGAATGGATAGTATTCTGTGGTAAGTACAGTTGGATTGAACAATCCAACTGGAATCTATCTTTGGAATGTAATGAACGAATAATCTTGAAATTTCTGGATTATCTCTATTGTCCATGTAATAACCCACTAAAGGCTAAAACTGCAATATAGTGGTAGAAAGGTCGAACCCACAGGGACAGAGGAACACACAGGGTACAAAGTGTCACGTTTAACAGACTATTGAGGAGTTTGAATTCTCAGGCAACTGTCACTCCCAAAAATACTGCAAGTGTCCACTCGGAGCGCACTCGGAGGTCGCACAGTGCAGCGTACACACACACACACACACCTGAAACTACAGAAACACAACCCAGAGATCCGTTAGGACCTCTACTCAAGATTTCAGGGGGGAAAAGTCTCTCGCGAGCACACTCAGCGAAGCTGCGGGCAGTGGCTTCCAACTCCGGCTTTTACAACGCTTCCACTAGCTTGCTGCTAGTGTAGGAAACCCGGTTTGGACTACCTACTTCGGATCGAAGTCACTCCTACGCGGTGAACAACACTCTCAACTCACAAAACGCGCAGAGAACACAGGTCCGCACTGAAGGACTCACTGTGAAACAGTCCAGTAACACAACAACAGTCTATTGAAGAGTTTGAATTCTCAGGCACTTGTCATTCCCAGAAGTACTACAGGGGTTACCCTCAAGGCACCTGCTGCAGCGTAACCTGAATTTACAACCAAGGCTTACACGAAGTAGCAAAACTTCACTTTGGCATTCAGGGGAAAAATCCCAAGGGAGTACAATCAGAAAGAAACACTCGAAGGTGTAGGGGCGAAACTGTTCAAGTATCTAACTAGTCACTGGCTCTGAGCATCGGCAGTCACCCGCAGGTGCAGATCCGAACTACTCAAGTCTCTAACCAATGGACTAGCTCTGAACATTCGGCCGAAGGCCTTCAGCTACAAAATGCGGAACGCTAAGTTGTAACTCCTCGTGCGTGGTGACAGAACTCAAGGACACAAACACGCAAAGGAAATGGGTTCCTGATCTATACTTCTGATGGGAAAGAACCCCAGGCAAAACGCCTGGAACTATTTTATACCTTCTAAATCCTAACTAGCACTACACTGCACTATGCTACACGCCTGCACGGGACCACGCTACACTACACTCCGCGGAACCTGTGCTACGTCTCCTGCGCGGCGGACTACCGCGCACTAACTCCCTACCATGCCAGTCTTCCGCTCGACTGCGCAGTCCCAATCGCTGCAACGCCGCGGACACCTCCACTTCGAGGGCGGACATGGTATCCTGCGCCTTCGACAGAAAAGCATCGAGCTTCTTTGCTACCTTCCGCCGACTCCTACTGTCGCCTGACAACAACCCGGCTGCGCGAAGTTCAAACTCACGCAGTGTGAGTTTCTCCTGCGCCTTCACTTCCCAGTGGGCGTAGCCCTTGAGACAGTGGGTGACACGCCTCGCCGTCTCCACCTTTGTGCGATCTGCCTCCTTCCTGCGATCCTCTTCAACTATCACTAATTGCGATTCGGCCTCAGCACGTTGCGCTCTCAATTCGCCACACTCTGACTGTAGCCTGCGGATTACCTCCTCATCCGCCTGCCGTGCGAGCTGACATTGTTCCAACAACCGCGTCTGTCGCACGAGCTCCTCTGACAAAATCCGATTCTGGGCCTGCTCAGAAATTAGTGCTTCTGTGACCTTCACCTGCTCCTTGGTGAGCTCTTCCAGTTTCCCATCCCTCACCTTCTCGGAGTACTTGTAGAATTTCTGATTAAGTTTATACTGACCCCACAAGCATTCATGCTTCTCCTTCAATTCCCTCAACTCCTGGTCCACTCTAGCTAATAGCTTGCTGGTGTGGACTTTAGTGCGAGTCCGCCTGCGCACTAACTCGATGTAAGATCCCGGCTGAAGTGGGTCGGCGTATTTATCGACTTTGCGATCCAAGTACCTCAGCAACGGAATCACCTGCTCAGAGAGCGCCGCCGCCGGCGCTCCAACAGTTTCCTCCTCCTCCTCCTCGGTGTCCTCTGCTCCTGACATTTCTTCGGTGGAGCCTCCGTCGTCATCATCCGAGTGGAGAATTTCAGTCGCCATTGATTGCGTCGGCGACTGACCCGAGTGGGGCTGCACGTCGTCAACGTGTGCTGCCTACGAAGGCACGGCTGCAGCCGCGCTGCTCTTCGCCAAAATGTCTAAGGCGGTAGGTGAATGTGCCCGTGCGGCATCCCCGCCGCTCGCTTGTTGGTCGTCTACCGTGTCCTCTCTGCCTCCGACGCCCGCCGCCGAAGGCGATCGAGCGGAGGGTGGCTGCGCGGGGTTTGATTGCGCATTGCGCATCGAAATTTCATCCCGCGGACAGTCACTCCGCTCCTCCGTCTGTTGCTGCTCCCTTGATCGGTCCGCGGGGGCTGTGCTTGGCCTGTGCGCAGGCGCAAATGCCGGCGCCTTGTCCGCCGCAGGCGCAGCGCCGCGGACGTCCATCGCCAAAGGCGACATGGCCGGGGGCCGCTCGCCCGATGTCCCTTGGCCCTTAGGCCCTACCGCCGAAGGCGCATCTACCGGCGGATTACCCGCCGATAGTGTGGCCTCCGCACACTCCTTGCTCGTATCTCCTCGGCTCGAAGGCCCTGGCGCCGAAGGCGCAAATTGCGGCGCGTGGTGCGCCGGAGGGTCTGGCCCCGAGGGCCGGTGTCTCGTAGGCGGCTCTTCCGCCGGCTCCTTCCCCTTCCTACGTTGGAACGGGGGTGATTCCTGCCTGTGCACAGGCGGCACGTGTGGAGGTGACCTGTGCACAGGCGACCTGTGCACAGGCGAGCGCCTGTGCACAGGCGGACTGCTCCTTCCCACGCGTAAGCGTAGATCTACGTCCACTTGTGATCGTCTGTCCGCGGAGGCTCGTCCGTCCGCGGAGTCTCGTCTGTGCGCAAACGGAACACCTGTCCGCAACGCACGTGGTAACTCCGGAGGCCCTTGGCCCGTAGGCGGCCTCACGCCCGTCGAGGCTGCAGCGTGGTCCGTTGCTCCTGCGGTCGTCCGCGCTTCCTCATGCTTCTCTGGCGACGCACTTCCTTTCTCCGTCGCAATCGTCGCCGTGTCCGCACTGTTGGCTGGTAACACCAGTCTGCGTGCCTTCTGCTTCGGCCGGCTGTATGACTCGTACAACGGCCGCGGTCGAATGGGAGCAGAGGGTTCTTGATGCTGCTCCTCTTCGGACTCTTCTCTCCATCGCCGCTTCCGCGGCACTCGTGCTGCAGGAGTGTTTCTCCCTTCGTCCCTCCGCCTTGATGGGGTAGAAGTCGGTGACTCCTCTGCATCAGTGTCGACCTCATTCTCCCGCACATACTTCCCGGGATGGTCGACGGACAACGGCGGAAAATGCTCAAGCTCCGCCGCTGTCAAACAATTCCGCTGTCGATAAAAATTGATGAGGAAAGGAGAGAGATGGTTTAGAGTTCCCCCCTTCTCCTCAAAAGCGTGCTGTCGCATCACCCTGTGCAGGATGCTCGCCCAGTGAATTGGAGTTCCCTCGATGACGCACTCCACAAAAGAGACCTGCCACAATGTGATGTAGCAGGCGCGGTGTGGCTGCAGTAATTGCATCAGCGCCGCGGACAAAGTCCGGCGAAATCGATCCTTGTAATCACGGGTCCTGTACCCATTCTTGGTAGACCTCCCGGTCTTGAACAGCTCCACAAATTGCGCCTCTTCCTGCTTGGTCACCTTGATGCTCTCACTGTCGAAGAGGAGATACCCTGGCATGCCGGCACATCTTCCCAATGCCTGCGCCCAATCTTGGACTGTCCACCGATCAACATGCGGACGCAATCCGCGCGAGGGTGGTCCCTGTGGCTCTAGCCACTCGCGCACCATGTTCGCACAGATGTAGTTCCATCCCCATAGCAAGAAATCGAGCTTTCTTGCTATTAAGCGCTCCTCGAAAGCGCGCAGCCCGTTCTGTGGTAGGCGAAGCGGCACCATCCGCAATCTGCCCGGTCTCGTCATTGCGTTCCTGGAGTTCGCTCGCCCGCTCATTCTACTTCCGCACCGCTCGAGCTCCTTTCTCTCTCGGCAAACTCTAATCGCCCTAAATTCCAAATCACGCGCACTCACTTCTCCCTCAATCACCAAGAAATCCCCCGTGCGGCGACGTCGAGAATGTTTAGCAGCCAGCAGATGGACGCGCGCAGCGCGCACAAGAGATTGGAATCGCGAATTCAAGAATGGAACGCTCTCCGCCGCCCGGTCGAAGGTCATGGTCGGCTCTTGCTCGTGGAGGACGTCTCACTTGATGGCCGCGCCGGCTCTACGCTGGAACGGTCTCCGCTCTCACGCGCGGCTTCACGCTCCGCCGTCGCCGATTAAACTCTCACGCTCGAATTGGCGGATTTGAACTCCGCGAGCGTATTACCCCGCAGACATGGGAGCGCAGCGCCGAAGGCGAGTTTTCCGCCTTGCGCGGTACACTTGTTCGTACCGCCCCTCGGCCAATCCCCTTCTGCCTCGACGCGTGTGTCCGCATGTCGGACAAAAGTTCAACTCCTGCCTGTGCGCAGGCAGACTCCTCGGCGGATTCTCCGCCGGCGCGGAACTTCATCCTCCTGTGCACAGGCGCTCGCCTGTGCGCAGGCGAATTCCGTCCGCGGCGTCGCGCTGGCGCGGAAGGCGTTGACCGTGGTCAGCAGTCTCCGTCCAGACTATCCGTTCCTTGTCTCTTCGTCGGCGCTTCCGCCGCCGCAACTCCGTCCGTCCAAGAGCGCATCCACCCGTCCCGTCCGCATGGTCCGTACGGATTTGATTACTCTGGCGGCTCCTTGCTCGTCCGCGGCGCCGCGCTGGCGCAGAAGGCGCCGTACACTTTCTACCTCACAAGGCGCATTTCTAGGGCCCAAGGCGGATTTTCCGCCGACGCCGAAGCGCCTGTGCACAGGCGAACTTCCTTCGTCCGCGCATAGGACAAAACTTGATCCCTCTTCCGCGTAGGCGGAATTCCCGCTGGTGGCGAACTCCTTCCGCCGAAGGCGAACGTCTACGTATCTTCCAATAGTGATAACTCCCTAAGTCCTCATCCGTTCCAAGCGTTCTTGGACTCGTTGGAATCAGTG